GAGCTGATGTTGCTGTGTATGGCGGGAGCTGGCATTGAAGATGTACCTGTGTTTCGGTTATAGCTGCCTCTTGTTTTTGGTAGCTTTAGATTTATAAATCTGTTTATGTACGTTTCAAACAGATGATGTATTTATTCCATATCAGCTTTGTAACTCTAAGTCTTAGAAACTCATGATTTGTACTACAAGTCCTTGGGGAGTTGTATAAAATTCAGTTATTTTATTTTTGACTCTTATCATTATCATTGTATTGTGGTTTATTCTAGTAGGTTGGGTTAGGTGTCATCATGACTAGTTGAATTTTGGGTCGTAACACACACACACACAGAGAGAGAGAGAGAGAGAGAGAGAGAGAGAGAGAGAGAGAGAAAGAGAGAGAGAGAGAGAGAGAGAGAGAGAGTTAAGGACTTTGTCTTTGAAGAGGAACATATTGATATTCCTCTAATTGTTATTGTCAATGCTCAGGAACAACTTTCTATACTTGACATTATTCAATAATTAAATTCGGATCAAAGACAATATCATTCAAGTTATCCTTCAAGAAGTAGAGAACAAATTCAACAACCTCAAGAATAAATTTCAATGAAGAAAATAATCTATGGACTTAAGAAAGTGTCTCATTAATAGTATTACTAATTTCATCAAGTTATTATCTCATTTGTTTTCGAGATAAATCTTGTTAATTATTGTGTATACCACAAGTCTAGTAAGAGTAAGTATATTTTTTATTGTGTGATGTATGATCATTTAATTTTGGGATGTTAGGAAGATATTTAAATAATTTATAAACTTATCTTTTGAAAGTAGTTTAAAGGTTCAAAAGATAATTACAGAGAACAAATATTTTATGTTCACATAAAGGAAGACGAAAAAGTTAAAGATAATAAGGTATTTAGATATCGACTTCACTAGATGCTGATATAATACGACATACTTGGTTGATGAGCTATATAAGGAAGACTGTTAAATGAATACTCATATCTCTTTTCACCATGGAAGTTAATTTATATCACATTATGTAACATCTGATTATGGAATATGACTGCAGAATTTTGTCACTGGCGGCGAATCTATGGATAAAGTTGAAAGGATACTTAAGTTATTTTGTGACAATAGGCTAGAAGTCTTGTATTTCAATAACAACATGAGTTGGGTAAAGTCAAAGCACTTTGACATAAAGTTCTTGGTTGTTAAAGAAAGAGTTCAGAGTGGTTAGGTACCTATAGAGAATATTGGTACAAACTCCATGGTTGTGGATCCACTTACTAAGGAACTACTACCCAAGGTTTTCATGAGCATATTGCTCATATGAGTTTCATGTCATTTAAGAATATTCAGTTTTAGTGGGAGTTTGTAACTTCTTAAATGGTCTTTATGGACACAATTCGGTTTCAGTTTAAGGATATTTGAGGTTATTTCTGTAGAAGTAACGTATTCAGGTTATTTTTTTACTATAACTTATTTTTTAACTTGGACCAGTTAAAAATAGGAATGCTTGGATCACACTGCATGTAATTTTCATGCTACACATCCATACTTGATCTGTGTGATTTGGTTGTATTGTATTCGTGATCAAGGAAAGTTTAGTTACGATAAATATAACGAAAGGCACCTTGGTTCAATATTGGCATGATTGATGGACGAGATTGTTCAGAGGTATTTTGGTTTATGATAGCAAATATTTTGAGCTTATAAGGTGACATACAATTATAGAGTTATATGTGTATTCCAAGTGGGAGATTGTTAGAACTTTTTATGGACTTGCACATATATGGTATTTAAGAATAATTATATGTTGGTTGTTATCATTAAAGGTTGACACAAATTAAAAATGATATGCTAAGATTTTAAAGTTAAATGGGTCTATTATTCCTTGTAAAGTATGTGGTTTTATGTGTAGATACCCGGATGTTGTTATTAATTTGATGATGGGCTGAATTAGAAATACATAAACTTGTGCACCTATTAATACGGTTATGGTCCCCAAATTATCAGATGTAGGGTTTTCTTTCTAACATTCCATTGCTGGAAAGAGTAGAACGACTTACGATTTGATTTGGAAGACTGTAGACCGAAGATCCATTCATCTATGTGGTACTCATGGATTCAGGTACACTTCCGCATCTAATTTTTATTCCCGATGATTTTACATGATAGTTCTTGGGTGAAAGATGAAGGATTTCATCTTTCAATAATTTAGTTCTAACAACGAACCCTTTCTTATCTACCATAACTTTTCCAATTGATGTTTTATGCCTTTTTCTCTCAGAAACTTTAGTTTGGATTTCACATGTGGGGTTTTTCAAAGAAATTCTTTCTCTGTCACACTTATGGAGTGATTGTGTAATTGGTGGTATTCAAACCTACTGGAAACTAATATTGCGTCACAAATCTTAACATTTTATTATATATCTTGTGGTTTTGCCATAAATTTGTAGGATACGGGATGAAAATTTCAAAATTTAAGCCACAACTTGTAAAACCAATTTCAAGATTTGCAAATTTTCTAGGATTGTAATACATATCAAGTGACTAAGAATATGTCACGATCCAAACTGGAGGATTATGACTAGCACCCGGACTATACTTGTCGAGAACCAACGTACATTTGATCTAACCTTCCTTATTATCTTTAAGGGCCGACGAGATCATTATAAATGGTAGATATGGATCATGAACAACAAACAATGAAAGATAATGGAATGAACATACATAACATGGGATGACAAGACTGTCAAGATACTACATATAAGGTACGAGCTACCACGCTCCCATGAAAGACAATACAACAAAAATCAGCCGACAAGGCATACCAAACTATACATGAGTCGACACCTGTCTATGAGCCTCTAAAAGAGCATACGTGCTGCAAAATTATCGGAACAGCGCCCCGACATACCCATAATATCTATAACAAAAATGCATACCAAGACCACGACAAGTCCGGAGAAGGGATCTCGCCAATAACCGCTGAACTGGAAAGCCTACTGTGGTAGGGGAGCTGCGTCTACCTGTCTATCAGGACCTGCAACACGACATGCAGCGTCCACAAATATAAAGGACGTCAGTACGAATAAAGTACTGAGTATGTAAGGTAGGAAAGCATAAGTAAGAACGATAATGTAAACAGGGATAAATAATATACAACTTATAACATCTGGATAACTCTGAGGGCTACTAACATGAAATGCATGATATATACATAAACTTTTAAAACATACACCTCTGCGGGCATCATCATCATCATATCGTACCCGGCCGTAATAGGCTCGGTAAAACGTACCCGTCCACGTGAAGCTCAGTAAAACCCAACTGATCAGTGGTTGTGCAATAGGTGACGTACCCGGCCGACTATATCCTCTTTGATTACGTACAATCGAAGTCATGCAAAAGAAGGAAAGGGATAGCCTCACATACCTTGTATATGTACTGCCCAACCTCAAGCTATGCAAATGTCACGACTCCTTAGTCTACAATAAGAGAAATGACACTATCGTTATCGTTTAAGCGTCGTAACTATTATGTATTGACCACAACCTATTTTACGATGAAACAGACAACACCTCCCCTAGATATATGACTTCACACAAGTCAAAACAATCACCAAACAGCCCAACATACCCCGATCACTTCATACACAACACGACAACCATAATAGTGTCAAACAATCCGAAAATATTATGACGAACGACCAGCAAACAACCTTGCCATTATGTGGTGTTTCTCCACACCCTTCCTCCTCTCAACTCTATAAAAACAGTAGCAAAAGAGACAACCCAATAGCAACAGGAAACAGCCCACAAAACAGTCCCACAAGCTTAGCAACTCAAAATTAATTTTTCAGTTTACTTAAACACGTTTCAACTTGTCTTTTCTTTCAAATTGAGAAACACAACAAAAGTACATAATTATACCTCTTATCCAATAAACCAGCCATGAATTCAACTTAAAAATAAGTTCACAACCAGCCAACCATGACACAAGAACAAATAACATATTTCGAAACTCGCTAGGTCTATTCTTTACGATCGAGTTACAATTCGCAAACGCATATATAATGGAAGGAGAAGCATAACCTTACCTTGTATTGAGTATAACCCACGAAACCCGTTCCTTCTTCATCAAAAATCAGTTCCTCAATGCGGCTACAAGAAGGAGAAAGAGAAACTAGCAAGCTATCCGGACTTTTCGGCACTAGAATCACGTCGTAACACCCGAAATACCCTAGGGTTTGTATGGGATTTTTGGGGAGGAGTTGCAGGGGTTCAATTTTGTTTTCAAGGTCTGAAAGATGATTGAAATAAATGAGTTGATAATCCCTTAAAAGTCCCCTCTTGGCCAACTTTGGGGCTTTTAATTGAGTCCTCTCATTTTGGCAAGTAGGTGATGCACCTACTTGTCACCTACTTGTCACCTACCAATCTGCGCAGTCTCGCGAAAATGCAAATATCTCTATACTCCGAGATCGTATTGACAAACGATTTAATGCGTTGGAAACTACACTCATAGATCTTCAATTTGGTGGGTAGATCACCCCGTAATTCCAAATAAATTGGGAGAAAAATTTAGTAACATTTGACCTAAAGTTTAAGTAAAATTATGAACATAAGTTGCGACAACTTCTGTCGACTTTTGTCTCATAACTCGTTTAACTTCAAGACTTATGATACGGATATTATATGATTCAAATACCTTAAAACACGACCTATTGAAAATATTAGCACCCCTAGGTTTATCCAAAAATACGGATTACAACATCCTTGATTCGTTTAACTTCTAATACTTGTTAACCACCCTTATATACCCTTGTATCATTTAAGACCAATAGGATTAACTTATTATCATCTCAAAGATAATTTCTTCTCAGATTTACATCGACTAACTTATGGCATGAACCAACGTACGTGAATATGGGTTGTAACAGAATGCGTGCACCTTGTATTATAGAATAATCTATGAAGTTGATATTCGACCGTGTCTCTTCCATGAGCCAAAATACGTTTCTGAAAAATGTTTGAGGGTTGTAATTGTTCATTTCTGATCATAGAAGTAAAATGCCATCAGTAGAGGCTGCAATTACAGACTATACACCACCACCAATAACAAACCCAGTGTAATCCCACAAAGTGAGGTTTGGGAATGGTAGTGTGTACCCCACCTTGAAAAGGTAGAAAAGTTGTTTTTGATAGACCCTCGGCTCAAAAAAAGATGAAAAAAGCAGTAGCAATTACAGACAATACATAAATGCATTTATTATGTTTCAAGTTATCAATGACGAAATAGCCAGTTATAGCCATTTATAACAGCACTATAGATCCAGCCATGATATAAGATAACGAGGTATATACGTTGTTGATCACTCTCACAGTTTCGCTTGTTCTTGAATTTGTTCCTGTTCAAAGTAAATGAATTCAGAGAATGAGTACCAAATTTAAAAAGGAAAATGAAAAGAAACAGTCAAAAAATTTAAAGTGCCAAGCTGACAGAACTTGCAGGCATGAGATTTCTACTAATAATGTATCTAAATTCCCTCTAATTACATACTCTCGTCTACAGGAAGCATAATGGTGATCTAGTAGGCACTCGGACAGTATCTGGTTGAATTAAAAAAAGATAGTTTTGAAGTTGAAGTTGAAAGAGGTATTTGGAAGTTCAAGTTGTGTTTTACATGAATTTCACTTGAACAAGAAGTTGAAAATTTGTGAATGGATAATAATATTTGACTTAAAATTCTGCTCAAACAATTTTTCAATATATGACCATTATTTCAAATACTGAAATATTTTTAATGGCAACCGGGAAATGCTCACCGGGGAAGGGGGGCAGAGAGATACAAATGGAGTTCTTTCACCTTCACTTGTCAGGAAATTAGTTTCACAGAAAAAGAAGTCATGTTTAACATTTCGATTTCAAATGGGAAGCAATTTTCTGAAGAAACATATTAGGATAAAGCATAACATGGAGATTCACTTTAAAAAAAAACAGTAGTTTTTGGTTACAGTGCTGATGTCCAGAAGCACCAAGCATTCTAATTTTTTTTAATTAACCAGAAAAGGAAACAATACTCGTGCCGTGGTTTTAAGTTTGGCTCTATTGTTACTGAAAGAAAATTAAGGCAAAGAACCCAAAGTAATTGGGATGACTCACCTCTGTGACAAAGAAGGCATGGAATCCATAAGGAACTCTTTTGGGTAATTCAACAACTGCCACAGGCTCTGCTGACATTGTTTTCGCATCAATTACATTCACAGCTGACTTTCTGCACAAATATATAAGAGAACGGTTTAGTCAAGGTGATTCTGTTTTAAATCTCAGTCATGAAATCTGCTAATATTTCCATATGCGCCTAAGAACTAAGATAGGAAAATAATTTAACAGGCGCAAAGGCATACCATGTATAATGCACAAGGGAAATAGGGACATATGCTGCTTTCAATTTTCTAACTAAAAGTCCAAAGAAGATTATAACTAAAGAGTAAATGCTCATGTACGCATTTTTCTAGCTATGCTCAAATTAAGGTGGAAAAGATATGGACAATTGAGCATCATATGATCTTAAAGTCACGTTGCTTCAGTATATTGTAGTTGCAGTTGTTCTACATACACACATATAACGGATCTTAGAGGTAGAATACACTATGCTCTTTCAATTACGTAGGTTGTACTGTTTCACACAAGTAGTACTCTAGACTGACCCTCTTTGTCACTCTATTTCGCTTTAAACATTAGAACAGAAGAATTTCCTTAACATCCAGAAGACTACAAGTACATAATGGTCTTATACGGGACAAGAGAAGATATATTAATAGTGATGCTTATGATAGATGCAAGTAAGAGAGTGGCAGATAAGGTACCCAGTGTTCTCATCATGTACGAAGAATATCAAGTAGCCACCATCCTCTTCACATTCCGTACCAGGCTGACGGGGAACAAATACAGCCTCCGAACCAAATCTTCCAGGTCCTAGATCAAAGATGCCTTGAACATTTCCTCCAACTTCAAGCTGTGCTTTTCCAGTCTCTGGTTCAGCATGCAAATCAAATTTGATGATTCCAGTTACCTTGGCAATGCTGTCCAAAGTGGTTCCATATACATATCGCTGTTTCCTAAATTTCAAAAAGGCTAATATCACTATACCAACATAAGAGAGAGGTCTTCTGAAAAACCTCTAGAGAGACCAGATCAAGTAACCAAAACCAAAAGGAACAAAGCTAATAAAGTTAATACTCACGGAAAGCACGCACTTAGAACTCATGAACTAAAGTTGAAGCAAAATAGATAAATGATAAATGAAGGTGTTCATAACCCAGCATTTTGTACAGCCAAACATAAGCTGCATTGATCGAAAATTGCCTGAAATTTTTATTGATGGAGACAACTGACCTGCCAGTGTAGTTCTCGTTGATCCGTGGAAAATCAACAGCAGACTCCGAGAGTTTCTTCTGTGAAGCTGCACCACTCTTCATGTTAAATCTCATTTCGTATCTGTAAAAAAAAAACCAAAATCATGAACAGCGGCAGATACAAACAAGGTCAATTTAAAAATTCAATGTCGGAGTCTCCGAACAGCTCATTGGAGAAATTCTCTAGCTTTTCTTTAACAACTCCGTTGACCATGTCTAGGTTTGGATTCTGAACGCGGCAGGTGATCAACACAACTTCATCTCCCTCCTCCCAAGCATTGGCTGGTAAAATAATCGAAATGATAAACCAGTCAGAAAACAGAAGCAGCTACAGCAAGAAATTGATGTAAAGAATGTGTCGACCCTATACCTATCACAACAGACGATTACCAATTATAAGTGCAAAGACTACACTGCAACTTATATTTGGATCACTGACATTTTCAAGATGTGAGTCCTGAATCCTAATTACCCTACAGAAATTTTTTAAGGTGGCATTTCCGCTTATATCTCATTGGGCCTCTGATTTATATTTACAGCTTTTAAGCTTTCAGATGATCAAAAGTTACCATTGAAGAGTCCTCCTGCATTCCATGGCAATAACAATTCCAAGTTTCAACCATCCAAATTATTTTAAAAACATGACATATTTTGTCTGTAAACATCTAATGTGATCCTGGTGACTCAAACTCTAAAACTTAATTCACAGGTTCCAAAAGGAAAATTCCTAAACTATATACTTTTTTATTGAAAGATCATTTCCCTTACAGGATTATCAATCAACTTTCATACCCATTAATCACTGCATGTACATATGCAGCTATTGGGTAGCTACAGCTTTTCTGTTCAGAATAGGCTAAATTTTACCTTTTCAAGAAAGACCACAAAGTTGCTTACCATTGTGAAATATGAAGCAATTAGGAAGCTCGAACCACTTGATTAGGGCCTCACTCTGCGCATATCGCGGGAGGACTCCAAATCGAGCGTTTTTAGTAGCATCGAAGAAAAAAGCCAGCTGATTATTTTTCACCATTTCCTGAATAGAAAATTCATAGCTGAGAATAAATCCAAAAATCTTAACACTATGCATGACAAATATACAATTCCAGACAAATATAAACTCAACACCCTACCAAACGTGTAACCAGATTTTGGAGTTCACACATGGACTTTATATACAGACTTATGGATGTGAGAACGAGTTTAATAAAGGTTCCCTTCAGTATAATTCGAAAGAATATGAGCACCCAACCCAAAACCTAAGGCAACTGATGGAGTAACCCACAACTTCTATAAACTCCTTTAAAATCTCTCACACTACCCAAGTAGGACAAATATAACTCAAAAAATAGATAGTCCATTTATCAAACAAAAGATCGAGTCATGGTGTATTGCTATGGTTTCGTCAATTCAAATGACTACGTACAAAGAAACGGAATATACTAGATCCATTTCATTTAAGACATCCATTTCATGTTGAATGAACCAGGCAATGTCACATAACTTGAGGAACAAAATGCCACATTCTTTTTAAGGCCTGGATAAAAAGAGTAACTGAAACTGAACACTGCAAAGAACAAAAAGAAAACAGATGAAAGTCATGCAAAAGGTAAAAACTACAGCATCTTTACGTAAGTTTCTTGGTCGATGTTACTTAAGCTGGTTTAGGTAACCTCAGACACAATTCACTGGTTACATGCTTCTTCAGACCATACTACAGTGGACTTTAAGAAATATTGAATAAAGAATAAGTATTTCTTAAATTATGGAGGTTTCAAAAGTCTTAAAATAGTAATAATATATTTAATACAATTATAATCAGAATTCTTTCTCTCATCTATGATTGAATGTGGAAATAAGTATGCTATGATATATTATAAAAGACAAGTGTAATTTGGATGCCAAACTGACATTACAAGTTGCTGCAGTAATGTTCATGAAATGACCTAACCCAATTAGTGATTGTTGGAGGACTAGCATATAGTGGTAGCTATGGTTTTTCATTTTATATTTGCAGGTGTAAAATTTTTGTCATACAGGTATGCTATATTTTACTCTGTTTTTGTGGTACCCGTCTTTGAACATTTTAGTATCTAAAACAAAGCTCTTACTCCACTTTTAGGATCATTATCTTAACTTCTTCTGTTTAAAGAAGTTTTAAGGTATGTATTTCAAAGTTCAATTCATTTTCTTATGGTTCTTTAAACGCTTTGTTGACTACCATTCTTTCTAATAAGATACTTTAGACACAAGAGTAAAAGTTAGGAATGCAAATATGAGATGAATTTCAATAAGTAACATCTGTAGCAGCACTAGGATACCCCAAATAATTCTGAGTTTAATACTTGCTACCAATCATGAAGTTTTATTACTAAATTTTCGACAAGCATTTACCTTACAATAGCTGATTCTTAAAACGGAAGTCCATAAACCAGAAACCTCCTTGAAATCCTCTCCTATAGGACTCCAATAAGGAGGTGGACTAATGTAACAAGACTTAACATCTCTCTCTGATTCAATTTTGGAGCCAAGGCTTTCATCTCTCATAAAAAGCTTACATCATATGTCCACCAAGAGAGGAAAGCTGATATTACTACAAGACAAATCAGCAAATTGTGAGCTACAGAAGTCTCATACCTTCGGTCGGAAACACAAAGGGAGATCCATCATAATTGCATAATTTTCAGTAATAGCAAAATCATGCATCATGATAGGCTCTGGTATTGTTATTGGGACTGGATCCTGCATGATTCCACCCTTTGATATAACCCTATAAGTGATGTAAGGTGGGTTCTGAGAGTAGCCAAAGGTAAACATCTCACCTGCATGCAAAATTTCAAAGTCAAACTCAGAGTGTTCTACCAAAATAATGGCTAAATAATTCATGCTTCAAACTTGTATTAAATGATCCATTTTTGGTTCTTCTTCTCCACTTTTGAATACTGGACCTTGAACTAAAAATCTATCACAAATACACAACATAATCAGGTGACTGCGTCAAAGGTAATGTTGATTGACTGTCACTGGATAGTTTCCTTCGCATAAGGCTGTGTACACACTACCCTCCCCAGACCCCACTTGTGGAATCACGCTGGATTTTTTGTTGTTGTTGTTGTTGTCGTCACTGGATATTTTAAGCAGGGTTGGCGTTTAAAATGGGAACCCTAATCCTGGGTCAACCATCTTTCTTCACCTGTATTTACAGCCCAAAGGGAATGCCGCTCCATCTTCTGTTCACCATCCTATCCTCAACTTCAAAATCAATTTGCCTTGCCATTCAGTTGTTAAATGTAATTTGATAAACGGAAAAGGGTCTGATCTATCCCTCTACTATGATAAATTGTTCAAAATTGTCCCCCGTTATACTATTGGGCCATAAAAATCCCTGCCGTCTTACTATCCTAACAAATCTGCCCTTAGTTAGATCATGGCATCCATCCGTGCCCTTTTTACACCTGGGCACATATGAGACGACCCGCTCCATGAAACCCACCAAACTCATAATCCACGAACCGCCATTTATAAACCAAATAATACATATTTCTAATAATTGCGTTGGGGAAGTAATCGTTTTAGGTAATCTAATTTCCTATGGTGATTTTAGTTTCCATTTTTTAAGCCGAAAACTTTCAAATTTCAAATTCAAAATCAGAAATCTGAGTTTGTTGGTTACCTATTGTTAGAATCGTTTGGAAAAATCATTTGTTGTGCTTAAGTTTTGATTCACTTTCTGATTTGGGAAAATATAGTTGAAGGGAAACTAAAACCACCATTGGACTATTTGGAAAAGCTTGAAGAACACCCAAATGGGTCTGTTGTGAATCCATGATTGCTTAAAAAAGCTTTTGCGGATGAACTTTGGTTTCTGATGGCTCCTTCTACACTTCTTATCTTTTTTATTAAATTTTAATTAAATATTTTTGATTGGCATCTGATTTCTAATCTTCCTTTATTTTATAATGGATGGAAAAACAGACACGGACGAACCATTTTCTTCCGCACAATACAGTAATTTCTTGGGAACATGGTGATGAAAAATAAGGAGAAGAAGAGGATGGGAACGATGATGTATCAATTGGACACCGGATTTAAAATTTTGGAAGAGTTGAGTTGTCTGTGTTTCTTGTTGAAAGTATTTTTTTAGAACATTGTTAGAAAGCTGATACGTGAAGCAAGAGCTAAAAACTCCATTGATGAAAGCTCTGAATCTTAGCTCGAAAATTGGGTTTTCGAAAATGTGAACTATTTCTAGTTGGTGTTATTGTGTTTTGTTAGGGATCTTTTGGGGAGTTTAAATCTCAAATTATAACAAATTTGGTGAAGATTCAAAGAAGTTGGGTTGAAAATTTTGAGCAAATATCGATAAAGATGAAGAACAATGCTGGTTTTCCAGATTTTTAAGTTATGTCTCTCTTTTTGCCTTTAGGTTACGGGTCTTAACTTGGGCGGGTCAGTATTGGATGGGGTTTTTTAAATTGGGGGTGGGTCGTTTAATGAGGTGATGCCACGTGGCACCTCCGTCTAACTAAGGGCAGATTTGTAAGGATAGTAAGACGGCAGGGACTTTTATGGCCCAATAGTATAACGGGGGGCAATTTTAAACAATTTACCATAGTAGAGGGACAGATCAGACCCTTTTCTGTTGATAAAATAGTACTATGTTATGGAGGAAAATAGCAATTTTCTTTGGTTTTATCTAAAATCTACATCACCACTATCCGATTGGCAAGTCAGGCATATAAGAAAAGAGGTGTCAGCAAATGAGAAAAGAAAACTGAACAGATGACTCAACTAAAGGAGGTCATGCACTGAAAGGATTGCAGTTTTAATCACAACCGTTAGAAGAATACATGTACTGGTACTTCTTTCGTCAACAAATATTTGGGTAGCAAAGTTTGAGGACAAATCTTGTGAGTTTATAAATAGTGACATGCTTATTATTGGTAATGCAGAACTAGGACTGCTGCTCTCTTACCAGTTACAGGGTCAACTTTTGGATGGGCAGTGAAGGAATGCGCCAATCTTTTGTCATAATCCAGCATGCCGAGTGTTTGAAGATCTCCATCCTCCATAACTTTAAGTGCATCTGTGCAGTGCACACGCAGTATTAAAGTCAGAATATATACTTATAATCTAAATCCTTGAGTGAAACAATACTAACTACTAATACTTGTGGTCTACCCATAACCAAGACTTCAGATTACAATTTCACTATATAATCGTGCTTGATATAAGGAAAACGAAACGGGAAAAAGGTCGAAGACAACACCTATTCAAAGGCTTGCACATCAAAAATCATAGATACGTCATATTACTGAACAAGTCAAACAGAGCAGTGGCTTACAAGGTTTATCAGCCTCTGAAAGTGCCAAAAGCTTCCCATGGTGATATACTAGAGCTGTATTAGCTGGAGAAGGAAACAAATTTTACTTTCAGCTGGTAACTGTCATATAGACTACATAAATATTGTTATGAATCAAGATGCGTTCCTGCCATCATTAACAAATTATACTTGGGAAGTCTTGTCAAGAGAAGATAGATAGACTAGCTAAAATTCCAGCCAACTAACCTGTGCCATTTCCATAGGTGATATCCAATACTTTCAGCTTTGCTCGGAGCACTTGCATATAAACAGTGAACAGACCGAACAACCCTTTAAGATCTCCAATCTGCAGATGTAGTAAAGCCAAGGGTTTATAAAGCATAATGCATGGTAGCTTGACACAGTGGTCCCATTTGGTTTGGGAAAGAAAATTTAAGGAAGAAAACTAACAGCAGAAAGTGATAAGACAAATGGGGTGAATCAACTTCAGGTTATAAACACCAATAGGATGTCTCAGTTCCTTTTCCTCTGAATTACTGGTGCTTAAATTTTAAGAGTTACCCCGTGGACTTAGTCGAGGTGCGTGTAAGCTGGCCCGAACACCATAATTATCAAATATTTTTAGAAGTTAATAGAGATCTATGACAAAGGCATGCCAGCAGATGCATCATTTCAGTTTACAGTGATCATAAACTAAAGGGGAAAAGAATGACACAATTATCTTTGAAATGGATCCATCTCCCGTATGAAGCTAAAGAAAAGAGTTGAAAAAGCTTTCTGAAGTGCTGCAATTGCTGGGGCATTTTTTCAAACTGATGTTAAGCCCTAAAGACAAACCACATTCGAACAGCATCATTCTGTTGGTCATCATCCCTAATTCTAGAAAACCAATAAACAACAATACATTTACTAATTGTGTTCCCCCTTTCCAAATAGCTTGCAGAATAGCTACTTAATGAAGCATTCACAATTTGGCGAAATATTTAAAAAAAAAAAAAAAAAAAGAGATCCATAGTTATGTGAAGAAGTTGCTGAATGCATCAACACATGTGAAGAAGTTTTAGTAAAAGATACTGCAATCATTATTATATGAAGCTGGATGGGAACAAAAAACTAGGAGTAAGGATATCAAAACAAATGCACACCTTCATAAACTTAGCTCCTCCAAAGAACTCTTCTTGCTTTAGGCGTGATGTCCTCACATAACGTGATACGTAAGTTGCTTTTCCATCTTTAATGCGCAAGCCATGAATCATACTGAATAAAGGCTAAAAGTTTGAGATCGTATTACTTCTTTCCATGTGAAAGAGTTATAAAGACATGATAGTTATTAAGCTTCAACATAACTCGTCTAAGAAAAAAGTTTAAAAAAGAAAGAGTAACTGATAAAATGGAATAGGAAAAACCAGACTAAAAATTGCTTTGTTATAATATAGGACACATGAATAATCGATGCAATTTAATCAGATTATGTGCAAAGTAAAAAGATTAAGCAGCAGCAGCAGCACAAAAGAAAGAGGAACAATTACAACTACTGCTGCTGCGGCTTAGTCCCAAACTAGTTGGAGTGAGCTATATGAATCTTCACCATCCATTTTGCTCCATATGGTTCAATAACTTGGGAGTTCTTTAACCTTAGAGATTCTCTACAATATCAACTGACCTAACATCTCTAAATAGATTAAAAGACTGAACCTGAACCTGATGCAAGCATACCTTCATTACCAAACATTAATTTTAATTAGTTGGAATCACCTTTATTGGCCTTTTACTTTTATTGTTTTCCTTTCCTGGCTAAGTGTGCATAGATTCCGGGAGATTGTAGGTCTTTCAGCACAACTTACCTTCCATATGATTTTAGGCATACCTTTTCCCTTTTTTATACCTTCAAACATCATGGTTAACACTTATAGACCTAGACGAGACAGCAAAAGCACACTGCTATGAATTAATTGACATAGTTTACAAACTAATAGTCCTGATCCAACTCATCACGTGCTTCTTCACAAGCAATAGTTTTTAAAAAAATGTCCATGTAATCTGAGAATTTGTTGTTTTGCCATCCTAAGGCACAATCCTTCTCTTTCCTGTTATCATCAAATTCAAATATTTAATTCCTTGTCAATCCTTCTCGTCCTGTTATGATAAATGTAAAGATTCATACCCTTGCTATCATGTTCAAGCTTTCTTTTGTTGGAAAAATGGTATCAATCCTATTCCGGTGAATACAAGGTCTGTCTACGGAGACAATAATGCCCATTTGAGTTGTTCAATTAAGAAAAGAGTACACGGGCCTTCTTATCTAAAGTTACAAATGCCAACTGAAATTTTCAGTTACTTGCCACTCGTATCAAAAAGGGAAGTTTAGTCACATACTAAGCGGCAACCTATTTCAAAATGCTTAAGCTGGAGACAAGAAACACATAGGTAGCTGGAACAAATAAAACTAGAGTTGTAGAGGTGGTCCACTTCTTGTTCAAAGCAATGAGAAAATAACTTATTACTGCTCCAAATTGCAAAGTCAGGATTGTAAAGGACATACCCATCCCCATCAAACCTGCATAGAAATAAAGTGGGAATAAGCCTTGATGCAACCGGAAAATGTTCATTTTAATGAGATACAGGGATACAATGGCAAGAAAGAAGCACATAACCAAAAGGAACCGAGAAAAGCTTATGATCGTTTTCAGGAAGAAATTTTAGGAAGAAATGGAATTTGGAAGTCCCGAGGACGATAGGTTCAGGATAAAAGGCGAACCAGTGATATCCAGCAACCGGAGCAAACTTTGGATTGGGACCAACCCTAACAAATTCACCATTAAGGCACTCCTGTAATTAGAAATTCATATTACTAGGCATCATAAGAGTAAAGCTGATGGCAACAAGCACAAAATGCAAATCCTTAGCAGTAAATCAGACATTATTCCTTATGCTTTTAATTCGAGGAGAAATGAAAATAATGGTAAATAAATCTGCTCGTGTCTCTGTCGAATCAATCCCAGCAAATGCGAACCAACAGTTAGATATGAGCCCAAGATAAAAAACATAAACAATGAAATGAAGAATAAAACAACAAGATGCCACTTAATCTTCCATGCAGTATAGTTGCGAGTTAATTGCTTGCTCTTCACACCACTGCACAACTGAACTTCAATAAGCTATTTAGCCCAAGCTGTTATTTTCGCTAGTGCTGTTAACCATATGTTACTTTCTAATTATATGTTATCTTAATCTCTGTTGCAGTAAGGTCCCACTGAATATTCCACGCAGTAAATCATATCCTGCATAACCTAATGTATTGACATTTACATTCTACGTTCGCTAAACTGTCAAGAAATCTGCTCTGGACATTATCACATAGGCTTTAACCAGTTTCTTATTTAAGTTTTGAACAAAAGATATCTTGCAGATTCCCCAGAAATTTTAGAGCAATGAAAAGAGTAAGCAAATGTTTCCCTGTACCAAGGATGATAAAAGTGAATTCTTTAGTTCAATAGAAACAAATAGGAAGTCTCCCCTGCTTTGCTTGTTAATCAGACAACAAATATATTTTGTGCTAATCAAGAATTCCTAATATACTGATGGCGTAGGACTCTAGCAAAGTCATTAGAGATGACCTCACGCAAACTGTAAATTTTTATCACAATACTTCGACCATGTCATGGGAGTTATTATTATTCACAACAGGACACATTTCAATGATAAATATTACTAGGAGTTATCCTATTTTCATTAGAACCCATTAAGGATAGAACCAAGTTTCAGCTGAATCATGCTGACAAACCCAACCTATTATTGGATTTGCACTCCTAAGATTTTGTTATTTCCTCATTTTCCCCTTTCTTTCCTTGATGATAGAAAAAGACGAGCATCAAATTAGTACTAACTTCCCACTTCTCCCCCTATCATTTTCTCAAAAATTGCAAGCTTGTAGTAACCAGATCTGTATCCTTCGTTTAGATAGACAAACTTCGAACACCCTTCTCTAAGCACAACCCCTCTATCCAAAGAGGTGTAAGCAAGGGCGGATGTAGTATAGAAGCTATGACTTTATCCGAACCCAATAGTTTAGCTCAAACTCTGTATATGTGTTAAAAAATCCACCAAATAAGTACCTATAATTGATTTCAAACCCGGCAACTCAAATGAGCTGTGCTACAATTTGGAACTCGAAATAAAGTTCAAATCTTGGGTCCAATAAGCACCTAATTTCAGCAAATATAACTCAAGAATCACAAATAAAAAAAAAAACAAACAAAGAGATAATAAGTAAATAAATAAAACTAGCGAACTGACCGGAAGATGGCCTGTGACGGATAGGTCTTTAAGAGGAGGAGTTTCATCAGTAGGTGCAAAATTCCCTGAAAGATAGTGAAGTGGCTTGGTCGAATCGTGCATTAACTTTATGATTACTTTTTCCAATAAGTCTATGGCCTTCCCAATTACTCCCTTTTTTGGCTTGGGGTTCACCACCACAACTCCTCCTTCAGTTCTCTCTACTGTATCATCTTCTTCCTTTCTCCCCATTTTCTCCACCCACTCAGTTGATTGTTAGAAATGTTATAATGAATTATTATAGTCTGTAAAGTGGATATTGGAGGTTTCGCTCTGTTGATTCCTTTAACGGCTGACGGAGATGCCATGGACACGTTTTCCCTGTTTTGTTTGTATTCGCGGGACGTCTTTTGGATTAACGGCTAAAATAGATACCCGAATTGTGTGGATTAAGATACTTTTGGGAACTGTGGATTAAGATAACCAACTATAAACTGACAAGCTTCCACCGCGCACTATACTTCTGCGTTTGCATTTTGCATCCCTAATATATGTCTTAATTTCTAATTAGCACCCTATTCTCTTATTTTTGGCGATTTACTGCCTAATATATTATTACTTTTAGGAAAAACACAAATTTATATTTAATAAGGACATAAAAGGAATTTTGTTATTTTTATTTAAAAAGTGATTTATTCACCATTGATAATGCTGACCCTCAACTAGGAAGTAGCAAGGGCGGGCCCACGTGAAGTCAGGGGGTAGAGTGTCTAGCCTAATGGTGAAGTGGGTTCAAATTTTTAGAAGGGTTTGAGTTCGAAACCAATCAGCTTTTTTACATATACACAATTAGAGAAAGAGAACTACACCGTTTTACTTCTTTGCCTTAATTAGTTTGTGATTAGATTTATTACCGATCTAGAATTATTATTTTTTTAAACAATTTGTGACTTTCAGTAAATAAATTGATTGCTTTCTTAGTTAATTAGTTTATGTCGTGCCATTAAAATTCAATTCTATTTACTTTTTCTTCTCAAATTTCCATCAATTTGTGTTTACATATTATTCTTAGTGATTTAAATTGCTCTTTGCCAATTAATCTAAGTTTCAATTTGGTTACAATGAAAGTATCATGATGTTAGTTAAATTTGAGTTTAGTTTAATTATTGTTTGTGATGCTTTAAGTTTAAATATATTTATTAAATTATTGTTCTAATTTGAATTTTTAATTTGATAATCAAATTTTAAAATTTAATGAAGAGATTTTACTCTCCATATCTTCCAAGTAGCCACAATCAAGTTCACACTCTCAAATTTCTCCTCTCGTGGAAGAAATTTTGAACCAATTAAAATAACAACCCCTTTTTCCTCTAAGAAACAAAGGCTAAGAGTAAATATGAATTCTTTAAAGACTGATCCAACAGAAAAAATATATCTATTAGGGACTATCATCCAAGTGAGCTTGACGAGATTAGAAGAGCATACCTCCAAAAAAAGTCCTTACTAATCTCGAAACCATAAATTTCCTCAAAGAAAATAGTTTTAATAATATATTTTAATTTTTAATATTAATAACAATTTATTTTGTTGAGTTCAATTAGTATATTTCTTCTTCACATGTTGAACCTACTTGATGAAAATCTTGGGTCCGTCACTAGATACTAAGAGTTAGCAACCAACATACAAGACAATTCTGTGGTTAGAAATAAAAAATAATAAATAATAAAATAATGCTCAATCATTGTTTTCATCGATGATCAAAGCATAACTAAAGAAGCCGCACATGTTGTAATGCACGAAAAGAAAGGATATAGAAGTCTAATGGAGGAAACCACATTTTTCCAAAAATATTATATGAGAAACTGTGATACATTTTGCAGTAGCAGCTATAGCTGCAGCTTTATTTGCTTTCTAATTTGTCCCTGTTGCTGTCAAAATGAAGAGTCCGGAATCAAAATGTGGTTTTTTTTACTCAAAATATACAAATAAGTGTTAAAAAAAATAGTTACCAAATTATATATAACGCCACAAAAAGTGGCGCTATACAGTAACGGTAACTGCACATCTTACATATAGTAAAACTGACACATCTTACATAGCGCCACTATTAATGGCGCTATACCCC